ATTGCTAAACTAGCCCTCGTCCAGCTCGAAATCAGCCACTGTCTGGCCGTAAGATAATCCATAAAAATACAATTCATAAATCACAAATAAACTAGTAATGACCGAACTTAAACGCAGCTCCCTTACTCTGGCGCGTTTGCTTCGTCTCTTGCCCAGTCCAGTGCCCTTGCTCGGCACTCTTGATCTATAGAGTGTGTGTGTATGTGTGTGTGTGTCTGTGATTTTTTATTTTCAATTTTATTTATAAATTCTCTCTCTCTCTCTCTCTCTCTCTCTCTCTCTCTCTCTCTCTCTCTCTCTCACACACACTCACACACACACACAAAACTTGACTCGAGTGTGTGATGTGTTCGACAGTGCTAGCGGACCAATTTTATCTCTAATTAGTTTATTATTATTATTTCTAAATTTAAGATATAGTTATACAATTTTATAATTAAATAAATTTTATAATATTTGTATAAATTTATAAAAGTTATGTAATTGAACTTTCTTTGAAAAAACAAGCTACTTAAGTTGCGATTGGTTATGAGTCAGAATCGATTATAATTTGTATTGATCGATTAAGTTATTTTATGCCAATAATAAAAGTTATTTTATACTAATTAAAATCTAACTCAATTAAATTCTCATATTTTTTATCAATATAATTAATAATAACAATCAATCATCTTCATACATAACATTAATTTTAATTTACTATTCCCCAACTCAAATAATTTTAATTATTTATCACTTTCAATGACATCTTTCATACGTTTACATCAAATCAACTTTAATAATTATATTTCAAATATTATTTTAATACAAACTCAAAATCATAAAATCAATCAACTTTATTTAAAATAACTCATTTTAACCAACAATCACACTTTTGATGTTCTACTCAGCCATAACACGTATTACAAGAACAAAACAAGCAAAATGATTTCAACTCTTACCACACTTTGTTTATTAGCAAGTGTGACATGATTTTCCATAATGATTATTGTTCATCTAATTTTAAAATCATTGAAAATGATAAATATGAATATAATCATTAAGATATAGTCATATAGATTAATAACTATGTAGAGAACTTTTAATATATAGATAGTTATAAAAAACATCAATATGACTTCATTGTAGATGATATAAATGTTCATACTAAAAAATGCCTATCCGGATTAAGCCTTCTAAGACAGTCATAATGTAATCACTGCGGATTTATCCTCGAAGCCACAATATCAAGAAGCATTTCCTCTAAGACGAAAGACGCCGGCCACGAGACTTCTCCTATATGCCGACCTCGTACCAAGCTGCGGGATAATCTCGACGACATTTGCCAGAAGCATGGTCTTCTCCTTTTTGCCGACCTCATTCCCAGCTACGAGATAATCTCGACGAGACTTTTTGATCTTCTATTGTATAACCAATCACCTGTTTCGATTTGTTGTGGTGGACAGCTTATCGGATCTCCCGAAACTCTCACAAACGGCCCGAGGTTTTTTCTCCCTCTCTTGCTCTCTATTTTTCGATCAATTTCTCGCCCAAGAAGAACAAAACTCACATGATACTTTGTAGAGGCTAAGGACTTGGTGTAATTATAGGCTAAAGTACGAACCCTGATAATGTGCTAAATATGAGCTCCCCAATTGTTCATCCACTGTTGGTCTGACCCACTCCATACATAATTGAATAATATTAAATGTCACTATAAAAATATTATTGAACTCTCCATTTAGCCCGTAAATTACAAATAATTGATCTCCCGAATCATTTATCGTTTTACCTCCCCATGTTTATGATCTAACGTAGATTAACTAATTTAACTAATGATAATATAATTATTAAACTTTTATATCTGAAACTAGTAGCACTGGGTTCTTTATTATTATGTCGAAAATAAATCCGCTTGCAGGACTTAACATAATAATCATTTTTTAGCTCACTTTAGGAACGTCATCAACCTGGCGGACCGGAGCCCGGTGGTCGTAAACAATCTCAACGGCACATCATACACTTGGCATTATTTACCAAAATACAGAGTCTGTCGACCTATTAGAATAAGTTTCACCATTGATAAATCAAATGAATAAATACCGAAGATATATATACATATATGTATATATATACACACACACACACACACATATATATATATATGCATATTTATTGTCTTATGGGATAAGAGAATGCAACAATTACTGAGGTAAAAATTATTTATTTGGTCAGTATAAAATTATCTTATTTTTTGTAGGTCCATCCAATACATCAGAGATGCACTAGTGTAACTTATTAGTCAAGACCAACTAATTCAAAATCACATTAAAACCTTTCACGATAGTTTGTTCATTTTTGTCTGGGCTATGAGTAAATATTTATATTTTACAAGGCATCGATAACTTGATCTTTTTGTTATACACATCGAACCATATTATCTACAATGTAAAATAAAATAACTATGTTCGCATAATAAATAAACTACAAACCTGCACTTGACTAAAACATGAATCTTTTTCAAAACAATAGTGTCAGAAATTGGAAGTCGAGCTTTTACAGTGTACCTTGACAAGAAGGTCGTGGTTACAACCTCAGGATCTAAGAGTCGTGTGGTGAGAGGTGAAAGAGTACTTCTTAGATGGAAAGGGTATCTTGCCAGGAAGTCTCAGATCTTAGAGACGCGATAAGTTAGAGAAAAGTAGATTTGAGAATATCTTTTTGCTAACTAGGACTGTCTTAGGCATCGCATACTCTAAATATTTAAGGTTGCCAGTTTATCTTATTTTACACATTGTACAAACACCATACAAATCACCAGTTCTCTCACGAGCAAGATACTGACTTGAGTGTTGGAGATTTTCCACTCGGACCCCTTTCATGCGTTTTGTAGGTTATCGGAGCTCATAGCTGGTGGTCATTCAAGAGTTCGTGTTTCAACCTGGTTCGAGGCAGTTTGAGTATCAACGTGCAAATACCATATATGAGGAACAATGATGATCTAGCATCACTTTTTGAGAATGTTTTTATCTCGAGTAAAGTAGTACCATACGTTGCGAAAACGTCAAGCAAAGACAAATATACCAACAAGACACAAATTGACGTTGCTTACAAGTTTATTTCGATTATAAAATACCTCTTACCACAAAGGTTGCAATGAAGGCAATGTTAGGTTGTAACACATTGTTTTCGTTGTTGACAAAAACCTATAAATCAAAGATGTTGTTGAGAAGATGTTCGAGAGACGGGCCTAGAAAGTGAATACAGTGATCGCGTGTGATGGAACCGAGAAGGCTGACAAACGGGGGCAATACGAGTGCGGTCCCACACAGGTGAAGCGCACCATAAGAGGGTTAGTCCAAATGAAGCCCAAGTGAGGTTCCATCCCAAAACCAATTGGTAGTAGGAGGAGTAGCCCACTAGGCTTATAAGTTAGGCCTATTTACCCTATCAAATCAATGTGGGACAACTCACAAGTGACATTCCAACACTTTTGTAATGCTCGCACAAGATTGCAATGCTTTTGATATGTCAAAAGGATTAATTGTTGTGCACTTTGACTTTTATTTTGAGAGGAAGTTGTTAGATAATTGATTAAATTGGTTTATGTTATTATTGGGATCAAGTTTTTGCTTGAATTTGGCTTGTTTTTGCAACAAACACCTTATCATTTGCATGACAATAGTGTCTAGCAGCTGCCCTGAAGGGGTTCGTAGGTTAGCTCGTTAGTAAAGCAAGAGGTTGTTTGTATAACTTCAGAGCTTGCTCATGGCCCGTTCAATTATTAAGTTGGGCTGTCTGGGAGTCTATGTAAAGTTTGGCACCTATATTCTTTTGACTTTGTTATATCATCTCAATGAAATAATTAGCCATCGCTTTTGTTCTATTATCTAAATAGAACACGTTATTAAGTACTATTAATCCTATTTGATTATTAATGATGCGGCTTAACTACTTTATGGCATAGTTTTTCAACTTAGACCGACCCACCGGGTCATCCTAGGACCCGGTCAACTAGGAGTCCGAACAGGTACGGGTAGGCTACTCGGACCGGGTAACAATGGACCTGGTCAAAAACTGAGTAAATATAATCAGTCAAACTGAGGCATTGACCCGATCGGGTCAACCCGATTGATCCAGCCCCTATGTATTATTTTCTAATTTTTTGTTTGTTTAATATCTCTTTATTTCAAAAATAAAAAACTATGAAAATATATTTATATGATAAATACTTAGCATGAGATACAATATTATTAACACTTTGATGTACTAATTTTATATACACAACATTTACTTTTAAAAAATTTAAAACTGATTATCCAGTTTAAAAATTGACTAATAACTCGGCAGCTGAACCGGTGACTCAGAGACCTACCCAGGTCGATTACCTCTCGAGTTTAAAAAGTATGCTTTTAAAAATAACATACTTCAACTCAACACTAAACAAAAATATGGCATTATTATATTTCAAAGTACGATTGTGATGGCAAAAGCAATTGGTAACTCACATTGAAGACCATCTATATAAAATATTTTCCTTGTAAGGATGCCTTGTTTTTTCTGTGGGTCTATTTATAAACAACTTGCTAATGCATTTATTTATGTAAGTAAACCCCTTGAACAAATGGTTTATCAGAAAAAAAAATTATTATAATCAAATTATTTTATGCATAGCGTGTGCCACTCATATGTATTTAATTTAAACTAGGCGTGTTCACGGTCCGGATTGGTCCGATTTTAGCCCAAACTATGACCAAATCGGACTTAACGGTTATTTTTTTTTCTTTGTCTATAACTGGACCGGTTTTATTTTTTAACCGCCCACAATCCGGACCGCATTGGACGGTCCGGTTTGGCTGTTAACCAGTTAAATCCAAAATTAGCTGTTAACCGACCATTTAACTGATTTGCGGTCCAAATTGACGGTTTTTTTCGGTTAAACCGGACCGTGAACACCTCTGATTTAAACCACTTATAGGAAACCAGAGTATACAACCCAACTCAAGTACTCAACCTTCAAAATGAGCACCAAACGGAGTAATAATCGTGTTGGTAAAGAGAGCAAATTAGTGAGGTACATAAAAGGGCCTATCCGAATCCTGGCCCGAGCACGTGATTTCTACGTCACCAGCCTCACTGGATGCGCCGACCAAGTAGCCTACGCCGGCGCCACCTTCCAGCCGGCGGCCCTGCCCAGAAGTTTCAGCACTTCGTCAGCTCACGACACGACGGAGCTCATCCGGATCGCGTCTGCTCGCGCAAAATCGGAGGCAGAGCTCCTCCGGATGAAGAAGCGCAGCCGCTCGGTGGTAATCGGTAGGATTGATGAGGACGCGCCGTGTGAATTCGACGGCGCTGGGCGCCCAGTCAAGAGTACAAAATCCAATTTTACTGCTTTCATTTGGGATAAAGAAACAAAAAAAGCCTCCTTTTAATTTAATTTGATGATTTGGTCTGTTTGTGCGTATGTGCTGTGTGCTACTTGTGTGGTGGGGTGGGTGGTGTGTGTCTATGTATTAGTGCTCTGAATCCTATCCATCCACATGTAAAAGTGTTGTTACAATATTTATCTTCAAAATGTTTAGGAAATTAAATAAAGTGAAATGGATTCTCTTATTTGGGATTTATTGTGGGTCTATATATGTGATATGTGATATAATACTGGGTCGACTTGATTTGAGAAACGATCTTACTAAACAAGATGAACCGGCAGGTCGTGTGGAGATCAAGGATACTGAAGATCAAGCTAGGGCCTCGAATGGCTTGATAGGGTCGTCAACCATTTTGGCGTCGTCTGTAGGAACTTAAAAGTCTTCAAACACCGTGGTTCATGGCGAACAATGATCCTAAGAGAAATTTGGAGTCCACCTACGACGAGGTTGGGTCTCCAAGCGACCATTTGGAGCAGGCCCGCCATTAGGCTTCTCAAGGTCGAGCCAAACGCCATTGATCCTGATGGTCCATCCTTTAGGTTTAGCCTAGTTTTAGCATGGTTCACCGGCGACTCCTCTATCAGTTGGAGGACAGATCAACTAGCTTAGAGGTGGATTGTGTGTTGAATCATTCATGTGCACTCCCAAATTACGAGTAGATTTGGGAGCTGCAAGCAAAGGTAAACAGAAGACGAGCTTGGAGAGCTCGAGGGTATCCTTTTGCCCAGAGGGCCTTGGATGCGGATATACCAAGTGAATTTAGAGAGCTCAGTATCACCTATGATGGGTCCACAGACCCATCTCGTCATTTGAGGTCGTTTGAGAACATGGCCATTTTGCACAACTACTAAGATGTTGTAAGCTACAGGGCATTTTTAGCGACCTTGCAGGGAGGAGCACAGAATTGGTTTCACCAACTCTCCTAGGTTAGTTAAATATTTTGAAGAGTTTGCAAATATGTATCCTCAATCAGTTCGCAAGTTCGAGGTCGTAAGAGAAGACCTATCTGACGCTGATGGCGATGCAACATGAACAGGAAGAGACACTGGGAAGTTACATTGTTCAATACACCCAAGTGTATGTCTCAGCCTTAGAGGAGGTTAAGGCTAGAGGATTGACGGGAGGCTTGTGAGCTGGTCCCTGTAGGAGTTCACTGGGCAAGAAGCCGACATTAACTTCTGATGAGGTCTTAAAGAAATGCAACAAGTACATAAACATGTAAGAGTCGAAGGTTGAATTTGCTAAGTTGGAAACACTATCTAGACCTAAGGTGAGAAGGAAAGGGGAAGCTCACCGAGGAAAGAAATATCAAAAGGGAAAAGAAAAAATAGGTAGAGAGATTGACCGGTGAGGGATGCACACATGTACGATAACTACACTCCACTGAGGTCAAACCCAACAAAGGTGTTGGAGACCATGAAAAAGAAAAAAAATTATCGATGGAGATAAAATCACTTGGTTGAGGTCATAAAGAGAAGGTCGGACTCAACCAAAATTTGACCCATACACCACGAACAAATGTAGACACTTGATGGATGAGATCGACTGGTTAATTAGAGCTGGTCATTTAAAGGAGTTCATGTACAAAGATAGAGTAAGACGAAACTAAATAAGTGAGGATAAAAGAAAGCGACCAAGGGAACACGAGGTCGAGATCGAGGATGATGTCCTTCCCAAGAGGGGGGTGATCCATATGATCTCTAAAGGACCTACTGACTAAGACTCCAACAATGCAAGGAATCAACATGCCCGAGCAACAAAAAGAAAGAGAGAAGAGGTAGGCCTCGAAGCCATAGAGCCTGTGATAAGTTTCAGGACGGAATATGTCAAGGGGGTCCACGTGCCTCATAACAATGCATTTGTGATCTCTGTAAAGGTTTTTGGTTACGAGGTCCAACATTTTTCATGGACATAGACAGTTTAGTGGACATAATGTTTATGACTCTTTTAAACATATGAACCTGGATGTCGAGCTGAGGGAAGTCAACACATCATTGTTTGGATTTAATGGTGGATAGGTTGTGCTCATGGG